GAAGAAATCAAGCTGCAAGATATCCAAAGGAGATGGGTTGCATCTAACCGGTGGGCTGAAGCTGCCCAGTTTGCGCTTGCTAGAAGCCTCACATCATCACATAGTGACCTCCTTTCACTAGAAGCTGCAGAGGGAAATAATATTCTGAGGAGAACAAAGGATGCTGTAATCACTCTGCAAAGCGTACTAGAAGGGAAGCACAATACTGAAATCGATGAATCTCTAACTCAGTATCAGGTCCCAGCTGATCGATGGTGGTCTTCACTTTACAAAGTGATCGAAGGTATGGTTGGTTCAAGTCACTTTTTTTTCTGAGTAGCTTTGGCAGCTCTCTTTCAATCATGCTTTGGCCTGTGTGTAATGTGTGCAAGAATGATAATGCTAACTGACCTAAGTAATACTCCCTCAAGTCACTCACAAATGAGTGATGTTTTGGATAGGATCAGTCTTCAGTAAACACCAATTAGAAATTAACAAACACGTCTACCCTTATCTTGCATTTATATCTCATTCCACAATTCTATGAAATTTGTCTTCTATATGCCATGCCAGTCTACTTTGTTTCTCAGCTGTATGTGATCCGAACTAGCAATCAAATCTGGGGGAAAAAACAGTTGCCCTGCTTATCAACAGGTAGCTTTGTTGTGATTTTTTCTTTGACTCAATTTGTATGTATCTTTCAGGCCTCGCCACGATGAGCAGAATGGGCCGCAATCGTCTGCAGCAACCTTATAATTTTGAGAACAACGGTTCTATTGACTGGGACCAAATGTAGATGTAGAATTCTGGAACACAGCAGCATTGTGGAGTCGGCTGGAGGTGCCGTTATTTCTGGCGGATTTGATTACTGCGGTGTGTAGGTGATGCTGCAGCAACACATAACGTGCGAGCTTTAAGTAGTAGATTCACAGTCCTGATTCCTCTGAAAATGAATAACGAGTTAGTTTTGCCACAGCAGGACGATTCCTGTACCGTCGTCCGCAACGGTTTGTAATTTCTCACGGACAGTTACGACACGATTGTATGTCGGGTTTTGATAATTTGTGCCAATGCAATTTTCAGTTTTCACGGACAGTTCTTCTATTGGAAAAGACAAGTGTATGTGAATGGTTAGCATCTGGCTATCGGTATCATGTGGAGTCGTCTTCCTTCACCTGAGAACGAAGCAACCTTCCCCCTAACAATCGCCTTGTAGCGATCAGAAGTTCATCTCGGAGTTTCATTTTTCAACTCCCTCGTACGTAAGCGTCAGCAATGGGGCAAGGCCCAGCACGAACCGCTGGAGTGAACCGACAGACAGGCATGAAAATGCAACATTGGCGAGATTAAAAAAAAAAAAACGCCTTGGAATTCGGCCATACCATTTGTCCAGTACAGTACTAAAGAAACGTGCTGTTCCTATAAGGCTATAAGCCTATAACGTTCGGCCATCCTAAACTCGTCCAATATACTAAAGAAATGTCCAATTCCTATAATGCGGCCATTGTAAACTCGTCCGTTCGTCCAATACCAAAGAAATGTGTTGTTCATATTCCTACAACGTTAAAATTCTCTTCCGTAAATAAAAAAAAGGTAATTTAGTGAGTGGGGAAGTAGATGTTTCTAAGTAAAAATAAACGGTAATATTCTACTACTACCGCACATTCGCATACTTTTTGTTACAAACTCCCTATGACGTACCACAGATGAGTGGTAAACAAAAATAATAATCAGTAATAGGTAAAGTACATCACATAAACTATTTTTTTTACCAAACCTGGGATAGTGGGATGCCCCAGAATTGCCAGTGGTTGCCAGTGACATAGACGACAATCTTCAATGTCCACAATGTGAAAGAAAAGAAGAAAAACAGTACTTACGATATCATAAAAGTACTCATGATACAAACTAAGCATTACTCGGCTAGTTAGGTTGCCCATAATCACCGTGGAAGAAGCCATATAGTAGTCTATACGAAAACCTACCCATATAGTACATGCAGGCAACCCATATGTGTGATGACGCCCATATTGGCATGGACCGGGGATTGAATCTCACACATGATTTTTCTCTCACAACAAATCGTGTCCCAGTTTGTCTAAATATTTATCTTTACGTGGAGAACTTCATTTTAAAGATGGCTCGTGGAAGGAGTGAGTTTGGTCTTAAAGTTCCTCTCGGTCTCATGAACACTTGCATGCCCTGAACTTGTCATTAGGTAACAAACACCCTCTACCCACTCACACATTTGGTCCCGTGATATTTTCTATTGATATCCATTCTAGACCTTGGTGTATGCGATATCTAAAAATCATAAATAATTTATTTTAAAACGACAAGTGGTTAGCGTCCGGTCTAGCAACGTGGGAGGATGGTCCCTCGGATCGAAACATGGTGATCGGAGAAAAAAATGGTACTAATTTCATATTTGTCATATAACATAAATTAGGGATTGAAAACTAGATTTTATTATTTTATAAAATAGAAAACCACCAACCAGCAATAGAACCATTTTTTCCATCTTTGCCCGCGGAGAATGTCTATTACTTGCTTTGAGAGCGGATGGTTGAAAATCGGATCCCCGAAGATCATGATGCATTCCTTTAGGGTAAATGTGATAGTAAAATCAAAGTAAGGTCTTGAGTTCCCGAGTCATCTGTTTTGTTTCTTTTATCAATGCCTCACTATCAATTCGACTCTTTTTTTTTCAAAACTTGATATTTAGTGCACTATATGCAAATTGTTTGAGGACTCTATCATTTAGATTTCAACATTAATAGAGGTGTTTGATGGGGTAGGGCATTTATTGGTGTAGGAGTGAGTCTGGTCTTGGGTTGATGAGCTTGTTGAAAATTAATGAGCCTTACACTATGACACGTAGCATTAATTAAGATATGAAAAATAAATGACTTAATTTCTTCAAGGATGTAAAACATTTATCTTCGGCTATGACTTAGATTTTGAAGATTCTCAATCATTTATTTTGTGATCATACTTGGGTCCTTCTTATTATTATTTGCCCTCTCAGCGTGGAGGGGCCTCATAGTAGTACAATATGACTACAAAAGTAACCATCCATCTTCTGTTCTTTGCTTTGGGCCATGTTTAGTACATCAACAGTACCGTTTTGTTTTTATTTGGTAACAATTGTCCAACCGTTGACTAATTAGGCTCAAAACGTTCGTCTCGTAAAGTACGACCAAATTGTGCAATTAGTTTTTGATTTCATCTACATTTAATACTATATGCATGTATCGCAAGTTTGATATGATGGGGAATCTTCTTTTTGCATAGTGTCAAATTCAGTAGTTTGGGGGGAACTAAACACCCCCTGGTTTTTGCCACATTCACGGCGCATGAGGCTTGGGGAGACAAGGATTGCTACGATGAAAAACAAAGGTTTAAGCATGAATGCAACGCAAATATCAAAAGGGGTCGAAACTATGAGCGTCCAAGTAAGTCTTGTTGTGACACCGTGCGATCGGTCGACATGGCTTGTGTTCGTCGTACCATAAGCTCCGAGGAAAAGGAATTAAGTGTTCAAAAATTTTCTTTTCTTTCAATGGCTTGCAACAACTTAGTGCGAGTCGCAAAAAAATACGGAGGTAATTATATTTATACCTGATACCTTTTAGTAACTAGTAAGTAAATCCAGCAGTAGTATTTGCAAAATGTTTGTAATAATGAGGGATAATGACATGTAATTTTTGTTTTCCAGAAATTCCTATACGACCAATGTGGAAGTCATTCTCGCCGCCGCCACCACATAGGCCATATCTATGAAAGATCCAAAGGGGAAGCCAACTAAAGGACAAGCATATATAGCTTGTGATTTCATAACATGTATTATGTCATGACAATGTAACTGCGAAGAGTATCCAATAAATATGTCCATATTATCATCATGTGCCCTCTCTTTGTAAGTGAATACATGAGTTCTCATTATATGCTACCTTAATAGTTCGAGAAGGTTAACGCGTGCAGCGATGGGCTACACTAAGGCCTGTTTAGATGCCAAGTACTTAAACTACAAATAACTAATATATGCTAGACCTAGTAAAGACAGATCTAAATAGATTGTGCTAATGAGCCATCTTTTTACCTATGAATCCTCTAACATGTATTAGCAAGAAGAAAGGTGCTAATTGTTGCTAAAAATTAGCATGGTAAAAGTAGAAGATCCAAACCGGCCATAGTGATGCGGAGCCGCTGGCTGAACAGCGACAACCAGCAGCACCCTCTCGGCTCGGCGTCGGGTGGATGAGAGCAAGGCTAGTAGTACAGCCTGCTGCTGGCTGTATGAATCTTTGCACAGCTCGATCTTCTCTCAGCCACCCATATAGTAGTTTTGATGTAGAGAATTGTGGACATCAATTTATAGTAGGACCGAGTTTGGTGTTGGATTATCACAGAGATAATACGAAAGTAAATAAGTCTTATATTATGAGAAGTACCAAGATATGAAAACAATATGTCCCTTTTTTGCATCTGATCAATGTTGTATATATCTATATCAGTTGAAGATTCATGAACTTTTAGTTTTGTTTCTGGTTTAGATGTAATGCATATTACCAGTTTGTTCAAGGATGTATGCTACTAGTACCAGCCTAATATCATAGCTAATTAGCTATGCATATGTGTGCCCCAGAGAAAGCATACGCACCGCTATAATTAAGCAGTAGCGGTCGATCTCGCAAAGGAACGGTGTTGCATTGCCATCACACTCTACGATACAAAAAAGAACGGTGTTGCTTTCCTTTATTTATTAGACTACTAGACGGCCGGGCCAATCGATGGACAGACTCCGAACGTCGTCCGGAGGGAGGAACGGTGCTGTGATTATACAAACAAATAACAGTGGGCTTTGGTTCTCCTAGCGTTCTAACCTACCGTCGTCTCACCATGATCACCAAGAATCAATGCGCACCAAATTAAAACCGAGAGAAAATAGCTAAAGGCACAACAAAACACCATGCACGTATACACGTATCCACTGCACTGATCGACGTCGACGGTTTTCATCAGTCGAAGAGCTCCCACTGCGTCTGCGTGGTGGCCGCCGCGTCGAACGTCTCCCATTTCGTGGTCACCACCACCGCCTGCAGCCGCGCGTTGGACACCTTGAGCACGTCCAGCGTCTCCACGCATTTCTGCACCCGCTTCGCCTGCAAAACATGCATCCATGCCTCTATCTGTCAGATTTATATACCTAGCTAGGAGACACTATGTTATTATGCCAGCCGGATTTTTTTTCCAGTTGCTATACTAAATACTTAGCTTGCTGAATGAAATCGTAGACGGTCTTTTCCATCCTATATCTTGAGATCTTGAGGTGACCATCACAGACAATGATAAAAAGTACTTGCACTTCTTTTATTATCTCCAATCAATCAAGGATGCTCATGGGGCCTGATTTCTGGTGGCCGTGTTGCGGCATCCAATCTACATGTCTTGCCCTGCACTCTTCGCAAATCTATCTATCTATCTATCTATCTATCTATCTAAAAGGGCCATCTTTTGTAGAGAGGATATCTTCAGAAACAGAGCTGGTAGGCTGAATTCAGAGAACAATCTAGGAGAGTAGCAGGTTAGCTGGCACCAAACCTGACATTTGAAGCAGGGAAAGGGCTGTAGGTGGAATGCATGCTCGTGCCCGGGACCATGTGTTCATTACTGTTCAATAGAAGTATGGCGAATAGGTGATGACTGATGAGCCTGTTTCGGGTGGCATGCATACAGGACACTGGACACCTTCATTCACCCACCGACGACGACAGGTGACAGGCATGAGGCAGCTAGCTAGCTAGCTAAAGTTCCTCTCAGTCTCATGAACACTTGCATGCACTGCTTGTCATGGCACTGCTTGGCCACTCATAGGCCAGATATTTTCTATTGATATCAATGCTAGACCTTGCTACTTACTACGGAGTACTACCAATAACTAACAGAACGGTGCCCCTGAGAGTCTGAAACTGGTCTGAATAATAATGCCCATGCTGTGATGCCATTCAGTGCAGATAGGTGTACCTGAATGTTCTTCTGCGAAGAGGAGTCCCCGCCGGCTGCAGGTATGCTCTCCAGCTTCACCGCGTGCCGCATCAGCAGCTCGATCAGCGTCGTGATCTGCACCTCCGCCACCTTGTTCCCTCTAGAGATCGATTTCTCGATACTGGTTACCTACGACAGGGAACAACAATCATCAGCATTACGAAGATCACTTGCTTCATCGTCGTCATCAGAGAAGCAGCTAGCAAAATATTATACAGTAATGATGGATGGAAATGGAAGTACCCTGCACTGCAGGGATTCGATTCATTCGAGCGGTGTGTCCCTGTCCACTGCTCACCAGTCGCCACCACGTACATGACGTGGGGCCTGTTCGCTGGTTGGTGCTGGTGCTGGTTTAGGCTGGCTAGTGCTGGTATTTTTAGAGATAAACATTATTGGCTAGCTGATTTAGGCTGGCTAAAATCAACAAGCGAACAGGCTGATGCACATCGGCAGGGCAGGGCATTCATCCGTGTCCGTCCATTCATGCAGAGTCAATTTGCTCACCTACTACTACTAATCCCTTGGGCAGATTATTACGCACTGTACTCAGCTCGCCATTCAATTGCACCTTCCCCGGCCGCCTCCCATGCCTGCTTGTCCTTGTCCGAAGCAGCACGGATTGGCACCTTGACGACTCCGATCCCACAAAAACCAACAACAATGCACGGATCGGATTGGTACCTGATCGGCGAGCTTGTCGACCTCGAGGGCGACGGCGCCGATGGCGCGGCTGGCGGTCTCGATCCTGGCGTTCTTCTGGCGCTCGATGTAGCGGCGCTCGAGGCTGGCGGGGTCCTCGGCAAGCGCCATCTTGGACTTGTTCTTGACGCCGCACGCGTCCAGGTACTCGGCGTTGCCCCGCGGCCTGCCCCGGTAGCTCAGCTGTTGGTCCGCCGGCTGCAGCCCCGTCCTCGGCGCCAGCAGCTTCTTCAGCTGCCCTGCACAACTAACCACGGGCCATCAGCAGATCACATTCATTTTCACATTTCACACGGGGTACATCGTGCGATTGCATGCATCGGTTAACACGTAACACAGCCAATGCAAGTACATCCGGCTGTTCTCTGTTCGTTCCTGGTCCATCGGCGACAGCAGCAGCTGCTGCCTATGTCTATTAGGAGTAGAGTAGGAGTACTTACTACTCCTCACCAGCATTTCGCTGCTACTAATTGCTAGCGCGTGGTGGGACGAGGACGAGGACGATCCATGTTGAAGCGCCATTGCTCGGTACTTGCTCCTCTGCTGGTGATTGGTAGTGATGGTTGACACCTACACCCACGAGGAGCTCTGTGTGCCACCTACAACCCAGCCGGCCACCAGCAGGTCTAGTCTAGTCTAGCTAGCATTCTCGCTATGACGCCTGCTACGTTTCCAAATTTTTCCTTAAAAAAAAGGTCTTATTTTTTTCATGTAAAACCACACAGAAATATGGGATGGGATTTGCTATATTTCAGTTGTCTGAAATATATACTTTTCTTTAGGCGATAGCCATAGAACATCACGTGTATACTATGCGAACATCATAAAATACATCATAGAACATTACGTGTACACTACGCGAATATTACCACAATCGCCTGAACAACAACCACAAATTCAGGCGACTATCGTATTTACGTGACATCGTAAAAATACATCATAGAACATTACATGTATACTACATAAACATCGCATAATTCATCATAGAACATCGTCTGAACAACCGACACAAAATTCAGGCGACTGAAGTATAGAAAAAGTATAGAAATATCCCCGGGGATATAAACATTTGGCAGACGTCATTTTCCTGAGGTTTTTCGTAGCATGCCATGGCAGTACAGGTCGTTGCCAGTAGCCATGCCACTAAAACCACCTCCACTCCATCCGATCCCCAAAAAAAGCTCATGATTTTTCAAAGGATACCGACGCACATGTGCACGCTAAGCCAGAGAGATCCGATGCTAGCATAGTAGTAGAACGTGCTGCGCATACGACTCCCAACACCCACATCAATTTCCAGCCTTCTCTTCTCTGCAGCAGCACACAATCACACAGCGGACTACTGTACGCGGTGAACGAAGCGGCGTGGCGATCGCTTGCGGCCAAAGGTGTCGGCGCAACGTGACAACCTAGAGTCAAAAAAAGAAGGAAACACACCAACGTGCCGTCAGAGTCCAGCCCAGTGCACCTCCACGCCGTCCGATAGGGCCGGTCCGTACACGTGGGAGCCATCCTGCCCCTGGATTCCCCGCACCGGGCACTGCCACTGCCAGCGCCCCCCGTCGCTTTGTCGGGGGAAAGGAAAGGCGCCGGCCGCCTCGTCCAGTCGTCCGCCGGCCCGCCACCGTCGGATCATGCTGTGCTCCCGCAAAAAGCGAGAGCCACGGCACCGCCGGTGGCCGCTAAACTGGTCGTGGTCGGTTAATTCGCCTCGTGATCCGAGGCTAAAGTACCATCGCGTTGAACGAAGCGGGCAATGCCGGGATTTCACGGAAGGAATCGCTCTCTTCTCGCCGTACGGTCCTGGGGGGTAAATCTCGGATTTCCTGTCCAAAGCACGGACTTGGCAGAACATGGGATGGCAGATGGCTTTTCTTGCAGCTGGTTTTCCTGGCACGCATGTTTCCTTCCCTCAGCAGGAGGGAAAATGGGTGGTGGATTCGAATCACTCGATTGGGCTGCGTGGCGTGGGCACCGAATTTCGGGGCGAAGGACGAAAGGATTTTGGATTTGGGATCAGAGAATTTTTGCCCTTCACGTAGCAAATTCTCAGCAGATCATGTGGCGTGTGCATGCTGTAGTACGAAATATTCCTGCCATTTTGTTTCTTCCTAGCATTGAATTAGAAGAAGAGAAATGATGCAGGGAAAATGGTGGCAGTACAAAAACGGGGTGATGATGTCTCTGTCGCACTCGCTGTCCTCACGTCGCGGCGGCGTTAATTCCTCCACGCGGCACGGCCGGAAGAGGCATGGCGATTTTTTTTTTAAAAAAAACTCATTTTATAGTCACTGACACAAGTGCGGAATTCTTATCGAGATAAAAAAAAATATCTCGTGCGAGCCATGATTACCAGCTCGGATTTTAAAGTTGCCCAAAGGTCAAAACTTTCAAATAAACAAAGATTGTATGCTAGATTTGTATAAAGCAGAATTCTGCCTCGTCATCACCTTTCGTGATTAACCTACTAATAACTTAGTTGCCGCATTAGCCAACAAGCAAACGGTTCTAAAAGCTCGTTGTTTTACCCGCCCCCCAGCGACTTAGCGACGAAGGAAAATACAAAGTCCAAAAAGACGACGAACAGCTTTCAGTTTCTGTCTCGTGTGCTACAGAGAGAAAAGGAAGCATCGACGACGACAGGAACTAAGCTAAGCACACGGTTACTACTACTCTCTAAAGCGGCTTTAATGAAAACGAGGAGAACAGACGAGGGCGAGAGCGAGAGAGACGACGAAGGGCATGAAGAGCGAGGCCGAGGAGGAGGTGGAGGAGCTCACCGAACGTGGCAATGGGGGACACGGACACCTCGTGCCGCGCGCCTCCGTACTTGACGCGCACCTTGATCTCCGGCGGCGGCGGCCTAGGCGGGGCGCCGCCTGGCCCCGCCGCGTCGTCACGCGCCTGCACGACCATCCCGCTCGGCCGCGCCTCCCACCCGGCCCGCTCCTCCGCCGCCGCCGCCACGGCCGCCGCGGCGTCCGACCACCCGCTGCTCGACCCGCCGTCCGAGCTCGACCGGTGCATCACCGACGCCATGGATCGAGACAGCTAGCTAGCGACACGTACGCACGCAACCAGCTCCTCTCCGGCTGTCGTCCCAGAGAAGGAAGAAGGAACAAGGGAGCTTCTGCGCGCCGCGGGGTGCGGTTGGTGGTGCAGTGCCGTGGAGTGCGGGAGGTGGTGGCGGCGTGGGCGAGAGACACAGGAGGAGGACCCGCGGGAGAGGGGCGGGAGGCACGGCACGAGACGGATGGGAGACGCGCTTCTTCGCCTGTTGGCCTGTTGCCCTGTTGCCCGCTCTCCTTTTGTTGGCCGGTTTCACGTATCGAAATGGGCATTTTGGTTGGTTTTTGCCGCGGGAGGACGGATATGCCCCTGCGGCGTCCGGAGACACGCTGATACCGTTTCCGTATCTGCCTGTGGGTGCGTGCCATATTTTTTTTATCCGGTACAACTTGACCCACACAGCTGACACACTTGACACTCACGCCATACGTATATACGCGGACACACGCAAAGAAGAGATTGGTAGGCGTCGCCCTAGTGCGCGAGAAACATGCGCACGCGTGCGTGTACCCTAAAAATTCTGAAAAAATTTTAGAAAAAATGTGCTATCACTGAGTTTGAACTCTGGTAGGTAGTGTTCCACTGGACAGCCCTACCACTGGACTACAGGCCCATTCGCGTGTGCGATGGCTTTGGCAACTGTATGGTCTTGTTATGCCCGTATCCCTGAATTTTAGGGAAAACTTAGGGTGAAGAACTGGGGGAGGGAGATGCTTTGACTTGATGCAGATATATTTAGGGGGGGTTTGGTATTGCTCTCCTCCACGTTTTTCAGCTCCGCTTTACGTTTTTAACCAAACAGTTTCAGCTTAACACGCTCTGTTCGAGGAAAATTGGTGGAGTTATGAGAGCACCTAAAAGGTGCTCTACAAACTCTAGCTTTTTTTTGTGAAGCTATTCCACGACAGAGTTTATGGAAGCGAGTTTGTGGAGCAGTCTCAAACACCCTCGGTTTGTTCAACCATGTTTGGTTGGCTTTGGTTCTATTTCTCGGTTTTTCATGCTAGATTGGTGAATATTTCAAATGAATTATTTTCACGTAGGTACAAACAAGTTAATGCTGTTGGTGTAACAAGAATGGGATAAAAAAGGGGCAAATTATGTAATCTCACGAAGCCATTGATCCATTCAATCACTGGATTGCCGTCTTTATTGGACCTTTTATTGTATACGTAATTGATTGTCCTGTTTTTCGGCACTATTTCAGTACTTTTCGCAGAGGAACGGTATTTTTTTCTCGCAACAAATCAGCATCAGCAACCGCAAGAGCCAAATTTGAGCGAAATGAATGGGACGACACTGTGCCCTAGTAAAACTTCCTTCATCGGAAAAAGCTATGGACATGAATACATGATGTTGTGGACAAACAAAACCGATAGTAGAGGTGCTTCTGCTTGTCTAATAAATCTCCCTTCATCTAAAGAAGCTCTGTGCCCTAGTAAAGCTTCCTTCATCGGAAAAAGCTATTTGCATCCCTATTGTCCAAGAATATTGTCAAAACTCAGCGTTGGAGAGGACTTGCAACAATTTCATTGGCACTTTCCATTTTCCACTATATAGAACATCACCACATGTCTCCATCTTGGTCCTTTTTCTCTACCGGTGCTTCTTTATGGAGCTGTGGTGGCACAGCAGGACGGTCTTGTGTTACTACCAATTTATAGGATGGCGGGACCGGCGGAGAGAACAGAGAACATAAGGGACCATGATGCTTGAAATGTACTATTACCTGGGTTCGGATGAATTCTGATTCTTCCACATGTCAAAGCATTCAAAAGTTAACAAAATTTGAAGGAAATAGTATAAATTTTTGCACACGAAATATGTATACTATAAAAATATATTGCATGATAAATATAATACACTTATTTGGTACAAAACCTCTAAAACTTTTCTTTTGTATAAAATTGGTCAAAGTCAAAACTGTTTGACTTGGTATTACGATAGAATTGTATCTTTTCTAGGATGGAGGAAGTACTAGTTACTAATCCGTCCATCCAAATAATGCAATTCTTGCTTTTTGGTGAGTCCATCAATCTCAGATTTTATCAAACATATAAAAAATACTAATATTTACGATACGTAATTATTATCATCAGATTATTCATATAATATATTTTCTAATAAATTGTATCTGGAGATACAAATGTGGATGCTATCTTCTATGTACCTAGTCGACTTAAAAAATTGACTTGGTTCAAACGTAGGAGTACGTTCTTATTGGAACAAAGCTATTTCCTACATCGAGAACATGTAATTCTAGCCCAGTATTGAATGAAACTATTTTAAATTTGATCAAATTTATCTAATAGTTATTTATGATACCAAGCAAATCACATTACTTTGGTCATGGAATGTACTAATGTTATATTTTGTAAATTTAGTCAAACTTTAGATAGCTTTTTTTTGCGAGAAAACATTAGATAGCTTGACTAAAAATCAACATAGAATTGCATTATTAATAAAAAATACTAATATTTATGATATTAATTAAATATTACTAGAATAATCATGCATTGTATTTTTATAATAATATATTTCAAGGTATAAATATTAATTTTTTATTTGTTTTTACTCGTACTCTCGTTGTCCCAAAATAAGTACGCATTTTGTCGGTATTTTATAAATCAGACTAGTAAACTTATACGATTGTCGCGCTGCTCTACGAAGACGATGGTAGCATTAAATAGACACGATGATTTATATTGTGTCGGGTATCGATATTAGGGATACCCAAAGTAAGGAAGTTAGCACCCAAAGCAAGGAAGTTAGCACCCATACTGACTTCCCCGGATGGGGCAAGACGAATTAAAAAGTCTTGCCCGATCCCAAGTCCGCGGGCTCCACCTCGCCTGGTGTGGCAGAACCTCCTAAATTATAGGGCCCACATGCACCTGTCACTGTGCAACGACCTTTAACATCTATGCATACGTTCCCGGTAACTTAAGAAGACTGTCGGGTGTCCTCGGGGAACCCCGAATCATCCATGATTTCCGAGCAGGATCACATTACAGAGTCATTGCAGTATTACAACAGTTTATTCAAATAGATACATCGAGTAAAAAAGCAATGAAGTCTTACAATAACATAGTTTACAAACTATTTGTTTCAAACCATACAACTAAGTTCGATAATAAAACAAACCAAAGTAGTGGAGTGGCATTATAATATATTACAAAACACACAACTTAAGCTTTCGCCTAAGGGCCACACATTTAATTATCGTCATCGCACTAAACAACATACCATGCAAAGACGATCCAAAACAGATCCGCTCATGAGCCTCACCAAACAAGGGTCAACGAAACCCTAAGTACAAAAGTACTCAACAAGACTTAACCGAAATAAGAATTTAAAAGAACGTGGGAATGCGGGCTCATGGGATTGAAGGTATGGCTTTAGCAATAATCAAGGTTCTTTTATGTAAAAGCATTTTAACAAAATTCTTTATATCAACGTTTAAAACTTCATAAAGATCATATACAAAGTCGACACGATCCGTATTGAGATCATGAAACTTCGTATCCAACACTTTCTCATACCATCCTCGATTCCAGCTTATTAATTACTACGATGATGAACAAAGTGAGTTGAGTCTCCATAAGCGAGAAGCAACGACGATTCTAACCGATTATAACCCAAATGAGAATTCCGGACCACACGACATATGCAGGTCCCCACCTACATATACCAACCTACCCTCGGATCCTCTAAAACAAGAACGGTCTTACTGCGCCACCCGAGAATACAAGACTCCACCAATCCAAACCATTGCCACGTGGGTACACGCTATTCCCGCCATCTCTCCACTCCCAGTGCGCGAGTAGCCATTCTCGTAATAGAATAGCCAAGTTAAGGCTTACCGAAGTATGTGGTTAGTACTACAAAGTCTCACCACATGTAATTCAACAACGGACGGACCTTAATCGACACAGGCGGAAAGAACCTGCTCACAAGACCTCCATGTCTTGTGGCTCACACACACCGAGTCCGTCCGGTCTAGATTTATTACTCCACATTCCCATATCACATGTAAACATAATTAACCAAAGCTCCATTTAAAACTTGCAGATAACAGGTAATCACCCAACTTTCATCGTTCTAAGCATAGCTAAGCAAAACTGGCATATACGAATTTAAAACTGGTAATATGGTAAATATGGAATAACAAGGTTGGTAATGTACCAATTTGGTTTTCACTTGACTCCTAATCACTTAATGCAGTAAAAAGAAGCAAAAGCGAAATCAATTTGTAAAATACAAGGTAGGGTTGTATGCATCCGGGGCTTGCCTTCGTTGACGGAAAAGTCCGGGTCCGGAATCGTTCCACCAATATCAACACCAACTTCCACAGACGAATCAACCTCCTCAACTACTTGATTAACTACCACGTGTTCACCTTCGCTCACTACACGTAGTAACAATGTCATGTCTAACATGATGCGGATACAAAATATGATGCTCGATGATGGATGCAAAACTTAACAACTTGAATACAACTTTCCTTCGCGGTACAGTTACAAGTCAAACTAACTAAACCATTTTCACAACACTCACAACAATTGCCAAAGATCATTACCAACTAATGACCCAAGGACATCACTTAATCAAAAACTCAAACAAAACCTAAATCACTAAAGGTTACTATTTGCTTTTATGAATTAATTAATAATTATGAAATAAATCAACTTGTTCCAATTGACCTCAAAATTTTTGTATATGTTCATCACATGATAACTAAGTGACAAAACAATTTTCATAATTTTTGGATACATAAATAAGTCTAGAAACATCCTGGAAACTCATTTATTAATTAATTGAGCAATTTTTATTACATTCAAAAAGTACTGAAAAACAACATTTCATATTTTTCCTAAATAGTACACATCACAAATAAGTCACACAAAAATTTTCATAATTTTTGCAGCTCTAAATAAATCTACACAAAAATAACAAAAATAGACACTATT